GCCCGAGCAATTTAATTTGTTGAACGTTACCAATGTTATAGTTACAATAGGTAAACCTTAACTTTTAGACATCCTTCATTGAAGAATACCTGACTAGATAGAATCATAGAACGAATACCGTTTTTTTTAATTTTTGTACATTTTCAAAATAATTATACATAAACTAGCGGTCTCCTGCGACTCCCTCTGCGCGGAATTAAAAAAAAAACATTATTAGTAGCCTATATGTTTTTTAAACTATGTTCTATATGTATGCCAAATTTCATCAAGGTCCGTTCAGTCATTTTGGAGATACCTTCAAACAAACATCCATCCATCCATACGTTCGCATTTATAATATTAGTAATGTTCAAAATAAAAGCATCATACTCTCCACTTAATGTTTATTATAGAATTATGATGATAACTTAACAAAACATATATACAACAAACTACGATTTAACAAATATAATTAGTAAGGACAACACACTATTCTCTGTTCATTGTTACTCACTCGCTTTTTACACACTGAAAAAATAACAAAACACACTCGATAAAATAGAGAAATAAAATATCACGGCGCCACTATGTGCCAGTAACTTTGTACCTTTTTAGTGGCGCCCTCTGACGCAATATAATCAAATTACGCTTAGACATCCCGCCCACCAAAGGACGTAGTCCTTTCAAACTCTATACAAACTCAAAATCTCTTACACCGAATACTAAACACTGCTACCGCCCACCATGGCTATCTATGCTTAAGTAACAATAACACATTAAAATTATAAAAGACAAAACTCGACTCTATATAAGAAGAAATATGAATGATAAGATAGCACTAAACTCTATACAATAAGAAAGATGAATATAAAATAACTCTAGACTCTATATAAAAGAAATAATTGAAAGAAAATTAAAACACACGTACACACACAATGAAATTAAGAATTTACACTACTCCGTATCTGAATTAGCACTCAGGTAGGACAAGGATGATGAATTAAGAAAAGATTCGATTTGCCTCAAGATGATCATTAGCTCCTCAAAGGTAAGCGTAGAATCTCAGATTACTCTTTTCAGATGCACTATTGTTGTGCGAACATCAGCTTCAATAAATACTCCTCCGAAGTTCGGTTCGTGCGGAGGATGGTACCTCCATGCTGTTTCCTCGTCTGCTAGAAGATGCTAAAGTTCCTCAGGTAATTTAGATTTAGCTCGATCAGACATTTCTCCTAGTTCTCTAGACGCGCTGACAGCCGGGTTCTGATGTATAGCCACGTATCTCCACTGCTCTCGTTCTAGCTTGGTAAGTATCTCAGATATTTTATTGCGTAACCATCTCGGTATGTTTATCTCCTCTAGTTTAAATAAGTCATCTTTGAATTGTTGCCACTCGTGTAATAGTTGCGGGGTGATCTTCTCATCCCACGATAATTTTATTCTCCACAGGTTTTGTTTAAACATCCTCGCTCTAACGCCAATTGATGTTATGCAGCTCATTGGGTTGTAAAGACGCGCTATTTCAGACAGCTTTCTTTTAGTTACATCCTCTCGATTCTCTTTAACTTTAGGTAATTGAAAGTGATGCGGAAATTCATAGTTTGTTTTGATCCAGGTAATATCTAATATCTTGATGTTCTCATTATACTTGAAATGTAATAACTGATTTTTTCTTTGATTCTCTTTACAGATGTGTTCCACTTCGCTGTTACTGCACCATTTTCGAAGTTCAAAACCACCTGCTCTCATTAAAGTATTCATTTGATGATAGTTGTCGATAGTTTGCTCTGTGGTTTTACATCCGGTACGTAAATCGTCCATATAGCAATATTGTAGTGTAATTTGTGCTGCTAAGGGATAATCTGGTTGCTCATCTTTTGATAGTTGTTGCAGACACTTCACAGCTACGTAAGTTGCACAAGATGTTCCAAAGGTAAGTCTCAGTAGTTGGTAATGTTGAACATGTCGTTCTAGATTTGATCTCCACAGTATCCTTTGGAAATCTGTGTCTTGCTCGTTGACAACTTGACGATACATATTAAATAACTCTGCAACTGTACAAACTCTACGATATCTCCATCTCACTAGAATATTACGTAGATCACTCTGTAATGTAGGTCCGACGAGAATATTGTCATTTAAAGACACGTCGTTCACTCCTTTGCTCGATGCGTCAAACTCCACTCTTACTCGTGTAGTCTGTTTTACCTCTCTGATCACTCCTTGGTATGACAGATAAATGTCGTAAGCATCTCGTAAGTCTCTCTCCTCAGTTGTTTTTTCGTAAATTTCTTTGCATTGCATTTTCTCTCTCGACTTTCTCCTTTTGATAGTTTCAGGTTCTCTTTCTATCTCCCAATGTTGTTTTAAAAGCTCTTCTTCCTTC